GGTATATTAGCTTTTTTTCAATTTATTTATAAATAAAAATATTTTTTTAATAGTCTTGTTTCTTTTATCAACTTATAATATAAACAAGACTAACAATAAATTGATAAAAATGTTATTTACAATAGTTTTAAGGGGCTGAATTGAGAATATAAAAGCAATTTTCTACGAAGTTCTAAAAACTATTTTTAAATGATCAATTTTTTGAGACATATTTTTAAATGACTGACTTGGGGAGGTTTTTTATTATAAAAATTCAATTTATTCAAATGAAGTAAAATAATAAAAAGCCTATTAATATGGGGAGTTAAATTGATAAACAGTTAGTGATAAGTGAATAAATAAGACATTATTTGAGTTTTCTACAGTTGGGCTTCAAAGAGGCCCATCTTTCTGAAACGGGAATTGGTACTTCATGGGCTTCAATAAGCCCATTTATGAAACTCGAAAATGGAGCCAATCCGCAATGAGTTTTCCAAATTCCCAGCCCACGGCGTTGGTTGGTTAATTTATTCGCATATTGTAACTTTGAAGAAGCCAGCAAGGTGGATTCAATGAAAAAAGCTAATTCCTTACAATATCGCAAATTAAGATTCGAATTAAATTGACAAAAGGCTAAGGATATCAGGTGGACAATATCCCAAATTATGAGTATGGCCTTCTTTTGCCAATAATATCTGAGTATATCTCTTATTCACAAAATAGATTGAAAAACAATACCCAGTGAATTTTTGTCATTGAGTGTCTCAAACTCCATCCAACTCAAAACAAACACTCCTTTGATGTAACTTTTTCAACTATGCATTCATGCGCCGTGTGGAATCTGGATAGAAAAATGTGGCCTTTTTCAGTCTCTCAAACTCCATGCAACTCAAACATTCCTTTCACATTTATCATGATACTACTTCCTGTTTTTAATATAACATCTTATTTTACTTTTATTTTGGTTTTAATTATAAGACCATAATTCACTTTGTTTCTCATATTTATGCATTCTTTCTCAAGACAGTCCCTCTAATAATAGTAGTTCTAGCCAATAACTTGATTAACAAGGATATTTTATGAAAGAAAATATATATTTATTATAAATAACTAACTTAATTTATTTTTTTAATATCTTTAAATTAGTCAACTAGCTTTTATAATTAGGACCCGTATTAAAAATTACTGTGGATGATGAATCATACCAACAAACTGGTGAAATGATGCTTGCTTGACTAGTTCAATCAAGAATTTGTACGGGCTATTTTTTTTCTCTCTCTTTTTTTCACCTATTGAGATTAAAATGACGTTTTTTGAGTAAAAAAATAGTGGTATGTTGGATTCATGATTTAGCAAGTCCGTTTCATTGAATTATATATTATTTATGCATAAATGTTCCATTTACTTGTTTGTTAATATCTTTTTTATTTGAATATTACCAACTTTAATTCTTAATATAAAAACCTAATTGCCTAGTTTAAATAAATTAAATAAGTTCGTAACATTAGTTATTTCTAATAAATAAATGTTATCTTTTTTAGAATAAGCTTACTAATCATGTATATAAGCTAAAACTACTATTTGATAAAAAATTTAACATACACAACTATTACAATGATCATTTTGAAAAAAATAAATAAATATGATAGACAAAGTAAATTAAAAATTTATATTTAGAACCAAATTAAATGTCAAATTAGCTCTTATAGTAAGGATCAGATGTAGTATTTTCTTCAGAGTCATATTTAAATTATGATTGGTTTGACTTTAATTTAACCACGGTTGAATATTTGCCTCAATTAATTTAATAATTGATGTGATTTTTAGTTCCTTGACATTTATATATTCATGCACAATGCGAGAGGGAGAGAGGGATTAAAAATGTAGCTGTGTCATCGCTTTTATGCATTTATGAAATAGTCACTCAATTTTTACTTACAAGTGACTTTTAACTAATAAACATAAATTAACAAAAGCTAGTTAAAGTTAATGGATTGTCTTAAAATTCGTGCACTTTCCCACAAATATCCTTAAGGATATGCAAATTTTTTATCAACTCTTTTCCCCCATCAGTCTCTTAGCATAAATGCATAATTTTTTTTCACCGGGCATAAATGCATAATTAGTAAACGGTGCCCATATAAAAAATATCAATTACTTATAAGATGACTTATAAGTAGAAACAAAAATAGCTTTTAAAAAATAATTTATAAATAGAAACAGCTAATAACTAATGGAAAAGGGAGATCACAAGCGTAAAACAAGATATGTGCATCACTCACAATCACGTTTGGCCTAGGCTTTCTCAATGAAATTCAATCTACATATTTACACTCAATTTTTTGGACTAATTCTCTAATACATTATATTCTTCTAATCCTATTTACAAATTTTAAAAAATTTCTATTTATTAGTCATATCATTAATATTTTCACATAAATAAACTAATTTGTCCTCATTTACTATTGCATAAACTATTTTTTTTAAAAAGTATATATTTAATAGGGAGTAAAATTAAAAAATTTTTTCCTAGAAAAATATTTTTCTTGATTTTAGTAAAACATGTTCAAAAATACTCCCTCTGATCCTATTTCTAAGCTTTAAATTTGAAGAGAGATGTGATCTATTTTATAAGCTTCAATCAAGGGTTTGTCTAAACATTTAATACTTTTTTAATTTTGTTCTTAATTATTTGTTCTCTCTCATTTGTCATACTCTCTTGTTATATTTCCTTACACATTCTCTTTCATCATTTTTGTCATTTATTATATGGGCCTAATTGAAAACAAAATTATATTTATAACATATTTATTGCTTTAATTAATTTTAATTATTTATTTATTATTTATGAATTACTTATTTAAAACTTATATTAGTAAGAATAGGAGGGAGTACCCTTGAATAGAATGAGATGAATATACATTCATTTTTATAAATGTAGGCAACTACCATGGCTACGTGAAGCCATAATAGGTGGGGGGAAATGGAGGAGTTAGAAAGTGAGTCTCCCTCATGACAATGACTAAAAATAAATAGCCTTGTAAGCTCAGATTGCTATGCATTTTACTTGAGAGACAATGAAATTTAACCTGCCTTGTAAACATGGCATCCAAAACCTTACCTACACTATGCCCTATTTGTCTATTTAATATTAAATAAATTAAATAATGAGATAATCCATACAACTTGCCTTGTAAAAACGGCACGCTTTGAAAGTGAAACAGAATCTACCATTTCCCAAGAAAATAATGACACAAACAGAGACAAAAATGTCCCATTTTTTAAATAAAAAGGGAATTAGGTAACTTTGGGGAAGGTACCCGGAAAAGCAGGGATTGAAAAGACTCACACAAGTCCATGAATTTATAGTTAATTAAATAAATTACTACTATGATGCACGCAGACAAGTACAAATTTTGGCCAAAGTGATATTAAATTATGGCAATTAGTGAGAAAAGAAACCTCTAAAGCTTTGTTGTGGAACCATTCTTCCTCGTGGTTTAGCTCCAATATTAAACAATACAGTCTAAAAGCCATGGCATGTGAGAGCGAGAGAGAGAGAGAGAGATTTGTGGTGGGAAAGTTGTTTGGCACTTTGGGCAGTACAGAAGAAGAATAGAATCATGGGGGTTTAGATTTTTTTTTTGGCTAAAGTATACATTTTGAGTCTTTAATTTGATACAAGATTTCAATTTGATTTTTTAATTTTAAAAAGTATACGTTTGGTTTTTTAACTATAAAATTTTTTGTAAAAAATAATGACATTAAAATCTTAAATGTTGATAAAATATTCTCAAATACTAACATATTAAATTTAATTTTCAAAACATCCATGATTGTTACAAGAAATTATCATTAAAGCCTAATGATTTTAGGATTAAAAGACCAAACGTATGTTTTTTAAAGTTAAAAGACCACATTAAAATCTTGTACAAAATTAAAGGACCAAATATATACTTTAGTTTTTTTTTCTTGGAACATTTCAATACATATTGTTTAAGGAGAATTGCAATTAGGTCCTACTCAATAGAATTAAATACAAAAAGATCCCTTGAAATCATGAAATTATTCTCTTACGACTTCAGAATAATTTATTGCAAAAAAGTTCTTTGGGACTTCAGAATAATTTCATGATTTTAGGGAACCTTTTTGTATTTAGTTCCCTTGAGTGAGACTTAATTGCAATTCTCCCTAAACAATATGTATTGAAATGTTCCAAGAAAAAAAAACTAAAGTATATATTTGGTCCTTTATTTTGTACAAGGTTTCAGTTTGGTCTTTTAACTTTGAAAAACATACGTTTGGTCTTTTAATCCTAAAATCATTAGTTTTTAATGATAATTTTTTGTAACAATCATGGATGTTTTGAAAATTAAATTTAATATGTTAGTATTTGAAAATATTTTATCAACATTTAAATAAAATGTAATGCATGAGTTGTCAAACCAGCCGTGATAGTTGTCAAATCTTGCAACTTAAGTTGTCAAACACTACTCTTTCAGTTATCAATGCGAACTAAAAAAAAAAGGTAATTTGATAATTAAACAAATAAAATTTATTACAAAAAAATTCCTTAAGATTTCAGAATAATTTTACGATTTTAAAGGACTTTTTTATATTTAATTCTTTTAGACTTAATTACAATTTTCCCTATTGTTCATCTGTTAATGAGATTTTGTGTGATAAACACATAGATACCGTCTTATTGAAATCAAAGTTTTACTTGTGAAATTTATGATGATTATATCATTTCTTTTCGGTGTTGCTCTTTTTGATAATTACGATTTTTTTCCCCAAAATTGCAGAGATTTTTCCTCCTGTGTTTTCTTTTAGCTTAATTCCAGAGTGTGTTGAGAAAATATGATTAAGTAGAGAAAATAAGAAAGCTGGAGCATAATTATTCAATTAAATTTATGCCAGATCCAGTGATATTGAGATAAGATTAGGTCTCGAATAGAAAATTAAAGATATCATTACGTATTCAGCACTAACTTAAAAAGAAATAGGGCAAATGATCCAAATAAGACATAATTATAAACACATAATTTTTTTTTTCCCTCATAAATCATAATGTTGAGTACAGACAAGCCAGAGAATAACTGAAAATAGGAAAAGAAAAGAAAAGGAAAAAGGCACACTGAAGAAGAAGAAGATTCAAAAGGGAAATGCTTAAAAAGACAAGAGGGTATTACAAAAGGCTCCCTCTGTCCCATGAACAGCCTCATCTCTTCAAGCATCTTGTTCCATTTGAAGCATTAATTAACACAGATTTAAACAGAGGGGTTGCTCCTGAATGATCCAAGTGCCTTAGCTGCACCTGCCCTTAAGATGAACTGGTGGTAGAATGCTGCTATGGCTGCCCCAATGAATGGTCCCACCCAGAAGATCCACTAAACCAACACAACCAACAAAAGTTTAGACAAAGTTGGAATCTTTTTCTACTTTACCTGATTGAAATAGCAGTTTTAAATTCTGGGGAGTAAAAAATACTCACGTGGTCATCCCAGGCTTTGCCGTAGATAACAGCGGCTCCAAGACTCCTGGCCGGGTTGATGCCGGTACCGGTGACTGGGATGGTGGCCAAATGAACCATGAACACAGCAAACCCAATGGGAAGTGGAGCCAAAACCTTCAAAGCACAGAACAAAGATTAATAAGTTAATTTAACAACCAGTAGATAAAAAAGACTAGGAGAAAAACAATGAACAAGTGGGAGGGGTTCACAAGCAAGTGTGGGGCATGCACACATGTGAGGCCCATGATTCCCACTTCTTTATTATTATCGTTTAAGAGAATCTGAGAAAGTAATTGAGGGTGAATGCAGAAAACCAAGCTGATATTGACAAAATGAAGGTGATACTGGGAGGTTAGAGAAAATGACAGAAGCCATATCACGGACAGAATCATGACCTCTTTACTTTTGGACCTCAAACACTTCAACTTTGCTTTCAAGGCATAAAGGGGAAGAAGGGGGAAAAAAAAAAAGGCATCGAAGACGATAACTAAAGTAGAACCCATTATTCTCATAACATGAAAAGACATTAGGTAACCTTCTTTATTCATGTGCCAGCCATGATAAGATCCAAAAACTACCACAAACTCAAATAAGCCAATGGACCCATGTCTACCAAGCGCATGGTGGTATTTAATATCATGATCCTGATAATTTTTGTGTAGGAAAGTGATAGCAGTACCATCCCAGGTGAATCAAATACTCATCCACCAAGAGATTATCCAAGACCACAAAAAATATATGATAGTTCATTTCATTTCACAGTTTGGAAAACTCATGATCAAATAAATTGAACTCGACAGTGAAACAAGCAATTTTATAATCCCAACAAGGATTTTATAATGCTATTCTACCAGTTTATGAATCTTTCTTAACAGGAGCATCCACTCTTCTCTCTGTCTCTATTCAGATTCCGTGATCAGTGTAATTTTATCAGTGGACGAATGAAGAACATGAACTGTTTTTTTCTTTTCCGTCCCTGTTTCTGTTGATCTATTTCTAATCTGCAATAACTAGAAGCGGATCGACGTTTACCCACAAGATTAAAGCCCATATTAAAGCCATAGACTTTAGAGCTTTCTAGGCATCTGAATTCACAATCAGATCGAAAGTTGTAAATTCCCAAAAGTTGCGCACTTCTATGGGTAAGTATTTATCATCTAAACTCAGCATACATTCTTTCTTCCCTTTAACCAATGTTTCAGCACAACTTTTCAGGCAGCCCTATCTTTTGTTCTAAAGTACATAGTTTATACAGTATTCTACTATTTTCATATCAATTAAAAATCCACACAAGCACAAAAAGGAACTCATCTCAGTACGAACAAAATTAAAGTACTCAGCAGTAATACTTACAGGCACATGGGAGTCTCTAGCGTTCCTCTTGGGATCAGTAGCAGAGAACACAGTGTATACCAAAACAAAGGTTCCGATGATCTCAGCACCCAAGCCAGTGCCGATGCTGTAGCCATCGCTCAGAGAATTGGCCCCACCACCGTACCTGGTGTAGAGACTCTTTTGGAAGGCCTTCACTAACCCAACTCCACAGATAGCACCCAAGCACTGAGCCACGATGTACAAGATGGCTCTAATCAGTGACACCTTGCGAGCCAAGAAGAGCCCAAATGTCACTGCAGGGTTAATGTGACCTCCTGCATTCATTGAACCAGAGATTTCAGAACTTGAAAATTACAAGTTAGAATAATAGTAGTTAAGCCTAGTAATAGGCTTAGTTGGTGTTTTCTTATGACTCAGAAATTAAAACATAAACAGAAGATCTCCCTTTCGGAGCTCAAGAATTTAGATGTACAAGTAAAATTTTTTGACAAAAAAAGGACCTTTAAAGATTATCACTAAACATCTCAAGAGAAGCCCAAAAATTTACAAAACAAAGAAAGAAAAGATGAGATCCCCAGTAAGGTATCCTGGAAAACTACAAGCAGGGTTTTCAGAACTGAAAAATTTTCTACCTTGAGCTCGGGGGCCGACTCCTGGTTGCTACTGAACTATAAAACATGGTATAAACAGAGATATCTCTGTTTGTGGGGCTCAGAAACTTGAAAGCATAGGTGAAGTTAAGAAAAACAAATCCCCGTTTAAAGAGAAACTAAAAACAGCAAACTTAACAAGAAAAAGTAAGTTGAGAATAAGGCATACTCTAGACCCACCTGAGATCCCGGCGGTGCAGTAGACAAGAATGAAGATCATGCCACCGAAGGCCCAGGCAATGCCAAGAATGCCGACGCCACCACACTTATCACCGCCAGCTGTGGTATCAGACTGGCTCTTGTAGCCAATCACAGTAAGGACGGTAATGTAAAGGAAAAGTAAGGTGGCTATAAACTCAGCAATCAAAGCCCTGTAAAAGGACCACTTGCCAAGCTCCTCCCCGTCAATGAGCGGTGCCGGAGGTGGGTCATGGTAGTCCTTGGCGGAGTAAGACCCACGCTCTGCAACCTCAACGTCCTTAGCCATAACACTTGAAAAAGCTCAAACCCCACAACGAACCACGAAGAAGAGAGAAGATTGCGGGAGAAGGAGAGCGAAAGCCAGAGACTTTGAGAGCAAACGTGTAGAATGAGTTGCAGAAATGGGACGGGATGGAGGGGGTATATATCGTGGGGCTGAGGGATGTGTCTGTCTTCTGTTTACTGTGCAAAAGAGAAAATTATTTAACGCTTTTAAAATTTAGTGGAAAATGGAAGTGATAAACCAATCGGGTTGGTTTCGCTTTCACAATCACCGACCTCCACCTTCGCCCTGGACTTTTACCACTGCCACCTCCCTTCCACTCTCTTCTGTCTTCCCTTTTAGTCCTTTTTTGTGTTCAAAACTAAAATTTAAAGCCCATATTTTCGGAGAAATTATATATTTCCTTCCTTCGTTAAAAATAAGTTTTGCACGCAAGTCAAAAAAAAAACAATTTAGGTTTAGTAAAAATGACTAGTCTTTTGCAACATGATAAATTAAATTTCAAATCTTATTGAAAAATATGCTTATGTTTGATATTCGATCTTTAAACATGATTACTTTTAATAGAAAAATAATTATGCCTATCAAAAATAAAAAATAAAAAATAATTTAATTATTTTAATCACATCCATTCTATGAAACATGAATAGTATAAAAATAGTAACTTAACATTTTTATTGAAATTTTAAAAATAACAAATATTTTTAAATGTAGGGATTAGAGACTTTAAAACATGTTTCAACTTTCAAAAAAGTTAATCAAAATGAGGAGTGTTTTTTGTGTATGGCATAAAAATTGATAAATAAATTATACTATTGATAACTACTACCTCTGATTCTTAATATAAAATCTCATTTGATTTTTATTTTGATTATAAATATAAGACTCCAATTCACTTTGTTTCTCATATTTATATATTTTTTTCCAAGTTAGTCCTTCTAATGATGGTAATTCTAGCCAATACACTTGATTAGTAAGGATATTTTAGAAAAAACAATACTTATTTATTACAAATAACTAACTTAACTTCTTTGCTTAATCTCCTCAAATTAGTCAACTAGTTCTTATAATTAGGATCAGAGATATTATTATTTATGATTTAAGAATGTTATCACTTGCTAAGATGCTATGTTATAAAGCATTGATATATTGATTTTAAGAAAATATGGGCCTTTTAACGTAATTTATCCCATATAATTAGATCTGCTCGTGTCAATATTAACTCTAATATTACCGTTAGATAGTTGGTAAATATGTATAACAAATAAAAAGAAGTTGTTAGACAGGCTTTTTTTTTTTTGGCCAGAAGTAGTTGTTAGACAGGCTGAACTCCATCCTTCTTCAAAGTTCTACGACTTTTGGGAATTGTTTTAACTTGCAAGAATTCAAATGTCATATAATGCAATTGGAATATTTCTTGCTTGCTCCTTAAACCAAATTAGAATATTGATGAGACGACTTTTATAATCCAAAGTAATATTATTCACTCTTTGAAAAGACTTTATATATGTCACGTATAACAAAACAAGCTTTCATTTCTTTCTTTCTTTCTTTCAAGAATAAGAAGCCACCGGCTCAGGTTTTTCATATTATGTTGCTTTTTTTTATAAGATAATATTTTTTTGTCTAAATATTTAATAATTTTTTTAATTTTGTTCACATATATTCTCTTTTTTTATTCATTTATTATATCTTGTATTTATTCTTTTCGTTAACAAAGGCATATTTAGAATATACACATATATATATATATATATATAGAGGTCACATATCTATATCCTGTACGCTGAACCGGAGGACATCACCGTATATTTATGATTTGACATTTGAAAAAAATGCAGAGAATACGTTACTGAAAATGGGACATAGAAAGAAGACTGAAACTTCATGGTGTAATGCAAAATGCAATTAATTTGTTTGATAATATAAGATATCATCTAAAATGTTATAACTCGGCCCATTCTAAATGGGAAAACTATTAAAAGAATTTAAACATAAGACTTCAATTTAATTTATTTTTAAAGTTATAATATTTTCCTAGCACATACCAATGGAGTTCTTCACCCAGAAAGTGGTTTCCTTCATGATTTATTAAAAGAGATGCTTCCAAAAAAATCAATATACATTATTAACAAATAATTAATTTAACTAATTTTTTAATTTTTATAAATTTATTATTTGATTCTTATATTTAGAATTGAATGAATGGGGTATCATGAAATAGTAATATGATATTAAGTAAAAAGGTTAATATTGTTGTTGCTCTTAAATTACAGTTTAATTTAATTTTGATTTTGGCCAGTGGAATTTTAAATCATTAATTTTAGTCCGTATATTTTCGTAAGTACTTGATATGAATTTGAGCATAGGAATGACAACCAAAATTTGTTAAAAATATATGAAAAAAATTATGAAACTATAAAGATTAAAATTAAAATTCAATTAAACTATAACAACGATGGGAGAAATACTACTTCCGATCTTTAATATAAGACCTCATTTGATTTTTATTTTAATCCTAAATATAAGACCCTAGTCTATTTTATCTCTCATATTTATTCATTTTTTCCCAAGATACTCCTTCTAATAATGGTAGTTCTAACCAATAAACTTGATTAGCACGGATATTTTAAGAAAGACAACACCTATTTATTACAAATAACTAACTTAACTTGTTTTCTTAATTTACTCAAATTAATCAACTAACTCTTATATTTATGATTAGAGGTAGTAGCTAACAATAAAATTGTCGTTTTTGCTTCACAAGGGCTTGGATTGAAAGAAAATGGACACCGTACCTCATTTAAATTTTGACACAATTTTACCATATTATTTTGGACTTGGACTTCTCAACTAACCACAAATTTACACGCCTTATATTCCAACACACACGATCCTTAAGTGATGTATGATTTAAGAAGAAACAACAATGAGAAAATGTTTATCATATATTAAAAGATACGAAACTCTCCCATGAATTGCTCCTTCAGATATCTCCGAATATTTTTTTCTGTCGTGCGCCGATCAGCTTGATGGTGATTGACGATATAATATAGAATTATCACATTAAGAATCAATTCTGCAACTTTCACTTACTATTTATACTTCAAAGTATTACACAGTTCATGGTTAAAATATATATACACCTAAGTATTTTTAATTTAGTTTAACTTAGGTTTAAATTAGAAAGTCACGCTTAAATAATTATCTTATACTCCCTCCGTTCCTTATTATAAGAGACAAATAACCGAAGTACGTTGATCAAAAAAATAGTTAAAATTAGTTAAGAACAATTAATGTGTAAAAAGTATAATTGTTTTTCCAAAAATGCCCTTATTAATAAGGAGAGAGAGCATGAGAGAGAACAATTAAATTATTAAAAGAAAGAGAAGTGGGAAGGAGAGAGAGTGTGAGTTGGAGATAATAAATATGGGCAAAATAGGAAATCAACACAAAAAAGTAGAGACAACTTTTAAGTGTCTCTTATATATAGGAACATGCCATAAGCATCAAATGTCTCTTATAATAAGGAACGGAGGGAGGAGGGAGTACTTCATAACAATTACTATAATTAGCATGCGAGTATATTCCTATCAACCAAGAATCCGTCCAAGTTCAATTGACTAAAATCATTTACAGATACACATTAAATGAACCTACACTCGAATATTTCCAAACTGTGAACGTTTATACACAAATAGATAATATCTTTCCTGCAGATAAGATGTGAATGATAAACATCGTGAACCTTCGCCTTGAACCTCGAGAAACTGATATGTGTGTATATTATATATGCACATATATATATATATTTATTTGTATAACGTATATGGGTCCTTGTACATGCCCTGTCAAAACGAGCTTGTGCCATGCTGGATTTAAATATTGCTTTAGACTCGTGTTATATTCTAATTTTAGAAGCTTGATGACTAATTTCAGGGACATTGAAAAAATTAGTTAGCTTATTTATATCGTACTGTAATACTATCTCCAATATTTAATATAAGAACTAATTCATGAGTCGAATTTAATTTTAAATATAAGATTTTAATCCACTTTATATTCTAAATTTACAATTTATTCTCAAAACATCCTTATTGATTATAAGGAATTCCCACCAAAATGTAATTTTAATATATATACGATTAAAGAGTAAATGTAATATAGGAAAAATAATATACATTTGTTATCAATAACTAACTTAACTAATTTTATTTATATTTTCTAAATTGATTAGCTAGTTCTTATACTAAGTATTAGAAGTAGTAAGTATATATGATGTATTGGTTTCTCTTAAAACATTCCCTTTGATTGTTACTTGATGAGAACCATTAAGGTCATGTTTGATAGAGTAATAGAAATCACTCATAAGCATGTAAGAAAATTAAAACAAAATTCTTCTTACTTACTTATTTTGTGTTCGGTAAATTACGATTGAAAAATTATTTATAAACCATTCCAAACAGATTTTTAAAAAAAATATCCTGTAGCGGTTATTTTAACAAGGAAAAATATATATTTAAAATCAAAACAGAAAATAATTAATTATTTACGCACACGACAAATGAACAAATTATTTTGGTTGAATATATATGGTAGGTTCACCTGAAGATGAAATTAAAAGTTTTGACCAGTGACTGTTCTGAATACAAGTATTCTGTTCCTAGTCAGACCAAAGTAATTGTAACGCTACGCTGAGTCATTTATTGGTTCGTTGATTAGACATATGGTCTGTTCAACAAGTGAGATAATTATTAACATATGACACAAAAACACAAACGCAATGAACGGCCTGATTATTTAAATATTTTAAATAATTATATCATAATAACTTTTTATGGCTAATTAATAGTAGTAATTAATTGGTCACAAAGTAACCGGGAGAAAGACTCATTAAGCTTTTTGGTCAAAAAAGCCTCTTTGGGTTCTTCCCTTAATTACCAACGTGTGGCACGCGGTTAATCCAACTTCACTCGCATTTCTTTCTTTGCTGGGTGCTGGGCGCCGTACATGCGTGTCTTCACGTGATTGGTGGGTGAGGATAGGTACAATCTTTCGTGAGAAGCGCACCCATTAGGTGATCGACACGTGGGGCGTCCTGCGCCACAATA